TCTTCTCTTAACTCTTCCTAGATTCACCCCATCTCCATAGCCCCCACTCCAACTTCATGTCTTCTTTTTAAATAATCCATGGACTCTAATTTGTTCTGTCTATATACTCCTGGGTGTGGGGCCATCACTGGAGCATGGTTCACCTACCAACAGTCACCTCCTTAAAGAAAATGGACTCTCCCTCTGTAGAGCCTCAGTTAAGGATGAAGGCTTATGAACCCCTTCCCACTCCACGCTGGAATATTGACTGGCTTGATCTTGTGCAGGCATCCATAGCTGCTGTGAGTTCATGAGCACACCAATCCTATCATGTCCAGCAGACACTGTTTTGCTCTGGTCCTCTCCAACTTCTGGCTCTTACAATCTCTTCATCCCTCTTCTGTGATGGTCCCTGAGCCCTGGGGAGGGATGTGATAAAGAAGTCCAATTTGTGGCTGAGTACTCCAATGACACTTATTCTCAACACTGCAGTTCTGAGTATCTGCATTTACTACTGTCCACTGTACAAAGAAACTTCTCTGATGAAGTCTGAGGGTTGCATTCATCTATAGGTAGAGAGATATGATTTCAGAGGGCAGTTTGATACTGTGTCCATTTAGCAGAATAATAGTAGTATGTTCACTCCTAGGGCCTGGAAGCTCACCAGCCATGGTTTCTTGGTCAGATTTATAGTAGCAGGTATGTGTTTCCTCCTGTGGAGTAGACATTAAATTCTATTAGAAAGTTGTTAGTTAACCCCATAACATTTGTGCCACTATTGTACCCATGGGTACATAGACTTTTGATAGGATGAATTTCATGACTGCTTTTCTAATGGTGACAAAACTCTACAGTCATGATATATTAGTATTTTTATACTGCTGGGTTGTATTTTCTAAGAAATATTTCTATTTTCATTAAAAATATTTACACCTAGTTCCCTGAGAGCTAACTGTCTGACATATTTTATAAAGTCTTAGACATTGCTGTCAGGATATTGTTGGAGTTAAAAGAATTACTTGCAAACTGCTCTTCCTTTATTTTCTGGAAGGGTTTGGAAGGAATTAGAATTATCTTTTTCTTAAAATGTGGTAAATTTCCAAATGAAACTGTCATGGCCTAGAATTTTTTTTGTAGGAAGGCATTCACTCATGAGTAGATTTTGGGGCCTCTCTGGGTGTCTGAGTTTTCCTGAATGACTTTTTTTTGTATCTTTTAAGGGCTTTATTTTTTTTTTATCTGATTACTCAACTTTGTTGTCACCAAGAATTGGAATAATGTTATTAACCTTTGAATGTCTGCATGATCTGATGTGAGTTTTTTGCTTCATTACATTTGCATTTATTTTCATATTATCCCATCTATTTGGTTTTCTTTTCTTGCTTTATTTCAGATATACTTTATGATTTGGCAGAGTGGATATTTTGCAGGGTAAAAGAAGAAAGAAAAGAGTTATCAATTACCATAGTTGAAATTATCTCACTAAAGTGAGAACTGACATCATAAAGTGAGGATGTGGAAATATTGGTATCTTGTATGAAAAAAAAAAGTGGACCATTTGTTTGAGAGACCTAAAGACAACAATGAGAGATTACACAGAGCTTTACAGTAATTGATGAGGGTCCATCTGAACCACATACGTAAATTAAAATACCATTTGTATAGTTAAGGTATGGGTATGTCTCCAAAATGAGCCTAAAAAGGAGAAAATGGGAAAATTATTATGGTAGTTACATTATTTCACATTTCAATTAAATTAATTAATTAACTTGGACTTTTTGAGACAGAGTCTCCCTGTAACCCCGGCTGGCCTAGAACTTACTATGTAGACCAGTGTGGTCTCAATCTCACAGAGATCTGCCTGTCCCTGCCTTCTGAGTCCTGGGATTAAAGGCATGTGCCACAATGCCCAGCCTTCAATTTAATTTTAATAAGATTCGATCATATTTTCCTTCTAAAGCTGCAATTATCAGCTTCTTTCAGAAAATTACATTTTCTTAAAAGTCCAAAACTTTTAAACAATTGGCACTGTCCTTTCAAAAAAATGTAAAGGAAAGAGGGAAAGTTCAGAGTCGCTTCCTATGTTACTTAGGTTCTGACCCCACAGAATCCTTGTGTTTCATCCTCCTGAACACTGATCCCACAGGTGCATGCCTCTATGTCCAGTTCATACTTTTCTAAATATTAAAGGCTGACAAGCCTAGTGGCGTACCCAGCTACTTGAGATACTGCAGCAGGAGGACTACAAGTTAGGGACTAACTTGGGCAACTTAGGGAAAACCTGACTAAAAGTCAAAAGAAGGCTGGGGACATACCTCCATAGGAGAGTGCTTACATAGCACATGCTAAGCCCTGGATCTGACTCCTAATAGCGAATACATAAATACATCATACATACATACACACATACATCATATTGCTCATTGGTTTGCTTATGGCAGATGAGTGAAGAGCTCTGCAGTAGTAGCTGAGTGAAGTCCTCCCACTCGACATAGCTAAGTTCATCTGAGAAAATGACAGAGCTGGGAGCAATTAGTATAGACTGAGAACAAGATGAATGGAAAATTGGCCAGCAAGTTGGATATTTTATGCATCTAGGGGGGTTGAAAAGATATTTGCAAGACTAAGATAATTATTCTGCTCTTTGAATTGATTATATTATGTATTGTATTCCTTTAGTTTGCAAAAGCAAATTGCATGAATAATGTAGTGAAATGTGAGTGCAGTGTAAAGGCATAGTTGATCTGAATCATTTAAGAACTCAAAAGCTATATGATGGAAAACAGGAGAGTAACAGACAGCAACATAAGGGTATGCCGTTCAAACTGCTTTCACAGTTAATTACAACCTGGTTCTTAGAGTAAATTCTCAAGTCCCAAGTTTAGCTGTATGTAACTTTTTTTTTTTTTTTCGGTCTTTTTGGAGACAGGGTCTCCCTGTAGCCCCAGCTGGCCTGGAATTAACTATGTAAACCAGGCTGGCCTTGAACTCATAGAGATCTGCCTGCCTCTGCCTCCAAAGTGCTGGGATTAACCATCATGCCTGGCCGGTATGTAAGTAACATTTCATATAAAATCTGGGATGTAGTGATTTTCTACAGGCAGGGAAAATCAACGAAAACAAACAGACCCATCACATTCTATCAACTGCCACTACAGTATAGCAGAAGGATACAGACTGTGGTCAGACAGGTAGTATTTGAATATTACTGTTAGGATTTTCCAGCTCTATAATCCTGAACACTTTGCTTCAGTGTCTTTATTTGCATGTGGAAAAATGGTTAGCTCCTATAGATTTGACGTGAAGATTAGATGAGAGGAGATATACACCATGCTTAAGCAGTGCCTGAGGCATAATGTACTTATAAGTTGCAGTTATTATTAATCAAGGTAAAGAAAGGTTACTTAGACCCTGTGTACTGCCAATGATATAAGGCTTTCACATACTGAAAACATCTCGATCTTGGATATCAAATTTCTACACACATGATAATTTTATTAAGATGTAGTAACAATGAAATCACCAAATGTCCCTCAAGTGCTGCTTTCATACACAATTTAAGATTTCTTTTGTGTGTTGTATTTTTGAACCCAGGACAGCAATCAGTTCTTTAAATAATGCTATTTAAAGTAATTATAATTATGTTCTGGTATGTGTATTCTAATATAATTAAGATCTTTTTCCAAAAAATAAAATACATTGGATGCTAGAAAATTATAATTAAGCTACATTTTGCAGCTTTTGTGATTAAGAAAAATGAATACATTTATTTTGATACTTCTCAGAATAATAATCTAATGGTAAAGTGTGTTTTTAAACCAAGATTATGTTATAAAAGAAGGAAGGAAATTGGCCTTGAGAAGGCACTAACCTTGCTAGGTACTTACACATACTATCTCATTTTCAAAAATCTGTAAAATGGATACATGGTATCCCCATTTTGCCCATGCTAAAGCAGATCTCAGAATTTGACTTCAAACATGCTGCAAAGTCATTTAGGGGACATTTAGATCCTAGTCACCTGCTTTCAAGGACTTTCAACGCTCATGCTCTCTCCACTGCTCTTGTCTGTTCCAGAAAGAAGCCACAAAACAGAAGTTCTCCAGGCTTTCAACATCTTGCAATTCAATACCTTAATCTCTTTGCATATTGTTCATTGCTTATCATTGTAGTAAGTGCATACATTGAAGCTTATATTGAAACCATCAGTGAATACATGCCCCTCCCCCTGCCAGTCTGTTTGGTTTTGTGAGTGGTGAAGGGATGCTGTGGAAAGTGTCATAGCAGAGAGTGCTGATCACCTTTGCTGCTAATTACTTAATCTTGTTTGGACATAAGGCATTTCACAGCGCTGACATCTCCCCGCTTCGACTTGTACACCCAAAGAAATACTCCCAGTAACCTCAAAAATGCATTCATTTTTATTGAAAAATTTCAAATTTCAAACAACATATTTTGATCATATTTAAACCCGTTCCCCTATCTGTACCCCTCTGCTATATATATGAAGGCTTATTGAGTCAAGTTTCTGTCCCCAGTTGTCCTTTAGTGTGCATCCACCCACTAAAGCCTGGTTAACCTATCTAGTGTCACACCTTTAAAGAAAACTGACTCTCCATCTCCCAGCAGTTATAGGTTGCTAATAGTTCCTTAGCTAAGATTTGGGCTTCTTTCCCACTTTCCACTTCTGTGCTGGCGTTTTTTCTGGCTTTAGCGTGCGTAGATCTTGAGCATGCTGTTACCATTGCTGTGTGTTCTTATCACTCAGTTTTTGATACTTGGTAAATATTATAAATCTATATGGCTTTTCTCTAAAGGGATAGTGGTTTAAATATAAATTTGTTTTCTAGAAAACCAACTCCTTTATCTGTAAGAATCCAGTCCATTGGGAAGTCCCAGGATTCATGCAACGGTTTAGGTAAAGGATTTTATAGGGAGCAAACCAAGTATGGGGTTGTAAATGTTCCATGAATTCTCTTAAAATTTTATATCCTGATCTTTGTTTTTCATATTTTCCATAGGACTATTTTACAAATGCAAACAAAGAGTTGGAAAAAGATACCCAGCAAGATTACCGCCTAGAATATGCCATGGAAAATAGCACACATACCATAATTGAATTCACCAGAGAACTGCACACCTGTGACGTCAATGACAAAAGTATCACGGTAAAAAATAAGCAGCTCTTTATGCTTGCAAAGTGCTTCACAGAATAAAGATATGGGGAGAATATTGAAAAATAATCTATAGCAGCAAAATTACATAATCTTTAGGAATTTTCTTGAACTCTTTACAACCCTCCCAAATTTTAAAACCATTATTTCATTAAAGGGATTTCTAAGAAAATTAACATTTTCAAGAGCTCTTTTAAGTTTGTGTTTTTTGTGTAAATAAATTTTAGCTTTTTGTCTATAAAATTTGAAAATATATAATGAAGGCTTGAGGAAATATATCACACAAAAGAGAATCATGATAGTGTATATTAGGGTGCAATTCATCAGATTTAAACTGATTTGGCTTTGTAAATTTCTGAAATCAAGATGAATAGTCAATTGATTATAATCATCTATTGGCATATTATACAAGATTTCTTATTTTCAGACTTCTCACAAAAGTTATCTTCATACACATGCAAATTAAGTACTTCTAGGATATGTAATTCCTGTGGCACTTCCCACGGATTGCTGGTATCGTTTCATTTTGTATAGATCAATAAAAGTTTCCTTTTTTATTCAATTCACTAAAGCTTCAAAAGTGAGAATATAAAGCATCTGAAGTAATACTGATTAGCATTCAGCATAGGGACTAAAGGAAGAAGAAAACAGGCACACAAAAAGATCACTTTTCATGCAACATATAGTATAGTTACACTTTAACTGGGATACTAATTATACTTGTCAGATTTTTTAGAAAATGGAAAAGAGCATTTAAAATAAGTCAATTTTCCTTTATTATTTATTCTCAAAGTTCTCATTACAAGGAACTAGCAAAACACCTTTATCTGTGTTAGGAATGAATAATTTTTCTGTACTCCAGCAAACCTTTCCCACCCATTGGTCAGTCTTTCTCTATGGCTTAGTAAAAGCTATTTTCACCTGGAGTAGTTTTCCTGGTTGGGGTAACTGATCCCCTTGGAAATGCCAGGATTCATAAAATGAGTGCAAATTCTCTTGTGTAACAAGCCCAAGCACAGAAATTCCTTCTGTATTTGTGCTTTCCTTAAGTTCACACATATTACTGAGCTGCTGCCTCTGTGTGTGTGTGTGTGTGTGTGTGTGTGTGTGTGTGTGTGTGTCTGATCTATTAAGAAACAAAGAGTCTTAGGGTAATTTATTTTTAAATTTTAGGTTAGCATAGGTTAGCATACAAAATAGCGGATTTGATTATGGCATTTCCTCACATACACGTGGTGATTTTTTGCGTCCTCTGCTGTACTACCCCAATGCCATCTTCTGTGCCTCTGCTTCCTTACCGTCTTTTCCACCTTCCTTTCTTCCTTCCCTTCCTCAAGATCTCTTCCTCTCTTTCCCTCCTTCCTCAGGATCTCATCTTTCTCGCTCATGTTCCCCATCTAGTTTTATGACCTACACACACACACACACACACACACACACACACACACACGTGCCCGCATGCACACATAGTCACACATATATAATTTTAAATTTAGGTTCCACATACAAAAGAAAACATGCAGACTTTCTGGGCCTGGCTTATTTTGCTTAACATTTTGATTTTTGGTTGCATACATTTTCCTGCAAATATCATGATTTTATTTTTATAACAGCTACATAAAATTCCATTGTGTATATGTACCAGTTTTCATTATCTGTCCATCAGTTGAAGGCCCTCTAAGCAGATTCCATTTCCTAGCTGTTTTGAATAAAACAGCAATGACTACAGATAAGCAAGTATCTCTGTAGTAGGATACAGAGTCTTCTGGGTATATGCTTAGGCTTGAAATAACTAGGTCACAATGGCTCTATTTTTCACTTTTTGAGGAAATTCCAGGCTGATTTCCATAATGGCTGCATAAGTTTACAATCCTACCAGAAGTTAATTAAGGGTTCCACTATCTCCACATCCTTGCCAGCATTTGTTGTCATTTGTTTTCTTGGTGGTAACCAGTTGACTGGTGGTAACAACTCTGACTGAAGTGAAATGGAATCTGAAAGCAGTTTTATATTCCCTAATGCCAAAGGATTTTGAACACTTGTTTCAACTTTTGATTGGTCATTTGTATTGATTGTTTTGAGAACTAACTATTCTTCTCATTAGCCCATTTATTGATTAGGTGATTTGGGGTTTTGATGTTTAATTTTTACAGTTTTTTATACATCCTAGATAATAGTTACTTGTCTGATGTATAGTTGGTCAGGATATTTTTCCCCATTCTGTAGGTTATCTCTTCACTCTGGTGATTCTTTTGATGTGAAGAAGCTTTCTAAGTTTATGAAATCCCATTTCTCAATTCTTGGAATTCTTTTCTGTGATATTTTTATAGAAAAATCCCTGCTTAGGTCTATTTCTTGAAGTGTCTAATTTGTGTTTTCCTCTAGCAGTTTCAGATCTTACATTAGTCAATCCATTTTGATTTTGGTTCAGGGTGAAACACACAGATCTAGTTTCATTCTTCCATATGTGGAAATTCAGTTTCTCTGAATTTGTTAAAGAGGTTGTTTTTATGAAATTTTTTTAGATTTGTCAAAACTTAGGTGTCTGGAGCTGTGTGGGTTTATTTATGGGTCCTGTGGGTTCATTGTTCTGCATATCTGCTCAACATTAATTCTGCAGCCCCCTAAGTACGGAAGGTCTTTTGATTTTCTAGTGTCTCCTTCAGTTACTTTCTTCAGTGTCTTAAAGTTTTCATTGTAGAAGTCTTTCACCTTCTTGGTTAGGTTTATCCCTAGGTATTTTATTTTCTGAAGTGGTATTTTGTAAGTAGTATTTCCCCCTCTTTCCTCTGAAACCATACTAAGCACCTTTATTAGTATACAGAAAAGCTCCTGATTTTTGTATATGGATTTTGTATGCTGCTACTTTGCTGAAAGTGTTTATGAGGTCTAAGAATTTCCTGGTGGAATCTTTAGAGTCTTTTAAATATAGGATAATTTCATCAGCAATTAGCAACAATTTGACTTCTTTTTTAATTTATTACTTTTATTTTATGTGTATGTGTGTATTGCCTGCATGTAGGTAAGTGCACCCATGTCGTACAATGCCCGCAGAGGTCAGAGGAGGCCGTTGGATTCCCTAGGACTGGAGTTACGGACAGTTGTTAGCTGCCATGTGGGTGCTGGGATTCAAACTTAGGTTTTCTGCAAGAATAACCAGTGTTCTTAACCACTGAGCCACCTCTCCAGCCCCTGATTTCTTTCTTATTTACATCACTTTTATTTCTTTCTCTTGTCTTATTTCTCTAGCTAAGACTTCAAGCACTATATTGAATACGAATTGAGAGTGGGTACTCTTGTCTCATTCTAGATGTTAGAGAAAATGTTCTCAGTTTTCCCCATGCTCTGTGTTGGTTACAGTGTTGCCATATATGGTTTTTACTGTGCTGGGACATATTCCTTTTATTCCCAGTTTCTTCAGGGTTTTTGTCATGAAGGGATATTCATGTAGAAGGCTTATTCTGAATTGATTGAGATGATCATATGTTTTCTGTTCTTAAGCCTATTTAGGTACTGTGTTACACTTACTGATTTGTGTATATTGAACCAGCCTTATGTCCCCGAAATGAAATCAACTTGGTCACAGTGTATGATCTTTTAAACGTGTTCTTGAATTTTCTTTGTAAGAATTCTATTGAAAATCTTTGCCTCTGTCTTCATCAGGGTATAATTGGTTTGGCAGAATTTGACAGTGAAGCCAAATTTTGGGCTTTTCTTTGTTGTGAGACTTCTTATTACTGCTTCAGTCTTATTGATTATTACACATCTGTTTAAGTTTAAACTCAGTTCTCTGAGTTTAATTTTGGTAGGTCATATATGTCTAGGTATTTAGAATTTCTTTTATATTTTCCAATTTTTTTGAGAATCATTTTTCAAAATATTTTCTAATGAGTTTATGGATTTTATTGAAATCTATGATAATATTCCCCTTTTTCATCTCTAATTCTATTAACTTGAGTCTTCTCTCTCTTTAGTTTAGTTTGGTTAAAAGTTTGTCAATCTCATTTACATTTTCACATAATCAGCTCCTTGAGGCCTCTAAATACCATTATCTTCATTTTTATATCCTGCTTTAAATAGACTCCTATAAATGCAACTTGATGGCAAGGAAAATGCTGTTATAAGACATAATGTCCCCGTGTCTGATTACCAGGACAGCACAGTGAGAGTGATCTGGGCCTACCATCATGAAGATGCTGGGGAAGCTGGTCCCAAGTACCATGATTCCAATCGGGGCACGAAGAGTCTGCGATTATTGAACCCTGAGAAAGCCAATGTGTGGTCTCCAGCCTCACCATACTTTGACCTGGTAAATCAAGACGTAAGTTTCTTTAGTTTTTTTTATTTAATGTAAGGATGGGTTGACTGAAAATGCATAAAAGATTTTTGCTTATGCAATTGATTTTAATACCATCACAACAGAATGTGACTTTATATTTTCTTTCCCTTTTTATTAAGACAGGTCCCCATCCCAAACAAAGGTACAACTTACTGGTGCCAAATGTTTAAGATTCCTGAATTTCAAGAAAAGCATCATGTAATAAAGGTATGTGACATGCTTGCAGAATAAATTTCATTGGTGTGAATGAAGACAGAAATTGCTATCCTAAAAGGAAAATGGTAAAAAATATAGAAATGAGTTTTAATTAGATGAAGGGTTTGGAAAAAGTAGGAACTGATTTAGTTGACCCACAGAGTTTTAAAAACTGAAAGCTTGGATTATAGCTATTTTAACTATCTCCTAATTTTCCCCACCCAAGATAAGTGGGTAATATTTCTATAATAGGAATTGCTATTTCAGATATGTTAACATATTTATAACTCATATCCAGGAAGGTGACATTTTCCACTTACACTCCGAGAATATTTGCTTCATATTAGTTGTCATAAAAATCATTGTTTCCATATTTTATTGAAAGCAGGAAAAAATTAGTGAATTTCTACAGAATTAATAAAAAATAAAGAATTGGATATACATGAGCTCAGATTGCCTGTGATGCACAGTTGTCCTCTAGTCTCCGGGTCTCCCCAAACTTTTACATATAGTTAATGAATAAGCAACTATTTTTTTAAAAACTACAGATCTTGGGGGCTAGAGAGATGGCTCCGTGATTAAGAGCACTTTCTGCTCTTGGAGACAACTTGAGTTTGGTTCCCAGCACCCAAATGGGTGCTAGCAACCATCTGCAACTCCAGGTCCAGGAGATCCAACACCCTTTTCTGACTTCCAGCAGTACCAGACATGCACATGGCACCCAAACATACATTCCCACAAAACACTCATACACATAAAATAAAAATAAATAGAACTTTAAAAAAGTAAGTTTTGGCTCCAGTAGTTACTGGCAGTTTCATAGAGACTGGACACCATGCTCTATGCTGTCAAAGAACTCATAGGGTATTATGTGATAATATAGCACTAAATAGTGCAGACAGGACAGCTGGAACCCTCAGAAAGCTGGACATCGTCACCTTTCTGTCATCCTCCAGATGGTACAATGATACAGTGTGGGTGTGAGAAACAGGCAAATGCCTAGATTTTGGAATTTAGCTGACATGTGAGTTTGAATTGCTGGCTCATGCTTTCATTAGGTGTGTGTGCTTAGGTAAGTCATACTGGATAATGTTGTAGCCACAGTTGTCTGTGCTGTAAAATGTGGGTAATCATATTGTTCCCTCTGCTAAGCTCAGAAAATTTTAGTGGGTATAAATCCCAAGCATGTCCTCGAAAGTGGATGAATTTGTTGATTTTTAAGGTATTCATCTGGTTGCACAGATTGGTCTGTTAGTCACAGGATGATTCACAACTGATGCAGCGGAGGGGGTGTTTGAGTTAGCACATGGTTCTAAATACTTAGAGGACATTTTTTGACAACAGAAAACTGAACAATATGACTGCAAATGAGTTGTTTACCTTTGCAAGAAGCTATTTTGTACTTCATGTGTGTGTAAGTGGAAGATCAGTTCAAATCTATGTACTTAATTCAGGACCAAAGTCCTTTGCTCTTATCAGTAAGGTCTTTCTCAGAAAAGAGAATCTTGTATTCATGAATACTGTGTGCCATTTATACTGAATTTAAAGGGTTCTTGGCTTAAGGAACAAATGTAAAACTAAGCTTAGAAATGAAAACAAGTGTTTCACAAAATAGGTCCTTCATCCATTTTAAAGCAATCATTCATTGGTAGTATGTAAAATCTGTAACTGTTTACATTCACATTCATTATTCTTATCATTATTAATGCTAAATATTGTGTTGAATGAGGTAAAATAACTGTCTCTGTCTATGGGATGCTAGTAAGTGTTTTGACCTTCTATACAGGGTATTTGCTTCATAGCTCATCTAGAAATTCTTAACTGGGGTTTCTTTTGTCACAAGCTTATCACAATAATACACAGCAGACTTCCAGGTAAGCAGTTTTGGAAACCATTGCTATCTTCACTATCTATTTGGATCAAGAAGAACTGATGATAAGAAAGACATTGTAGCTTTTTTTTTTTTTTTTTTTTTTTTTTTTTTGGGGGGCTCCCCATAACCAAAAAAAATGTTTATAAGAAAGACTTTGTTGTTTTTTTTTTTTTTTTTTTGCTGTGTTTGCGTGGTCTACCGATACCCAAGAGATCTTTACTTGGAGCAAGAAAAGAACAGAGGGAGAGTCACCAGGTAGGAGAAAGGTCATATCAACTTTTGTGATTGAGGAGAGATTCGGTGACTACACTTTAAAATTCTATTAGTTTAAAATATTGCTCACAGGATACATTCCTGATCTTGTTGCTAGGCCCCAAAGTTTTAGAGTTAACTGAGTATTATGAAACACAATTATCAAAAGTGAATTCAAACAATATAGAATAGAAAGAAATAAGTTCTACTTGGAACACAGATTAAAAATATTTGTATTACATAAATTGTTTAGAGGCAATCTTTCAAAAGCTGTTTTAATTTGCAGTAAAAGTTACAAAAAATTTAGTAAGTTTTCAAATTAGAATTTGTAACTCTAGAACTTTTCTTAAGAAATCATTCAATGTTTTCAGTCTCTTTTTCCTAGAAGAGATATCTCTAATAATTTAAGGAAAGTATGTATTCTTGTCATAGAAACGAGACTCATGTTTTGAAAATCCAACCAGTAAGTGGCTACTTCTTTTTCCTTACTTCCCAAAAATTCGACCACAAAACTTCTAGAAATGAGCAACATTTTCAGCAAAGCAGTAGGATAAAAAATAAACTTACAAAAATCCGTAGCCTTTCTATATGCCAACATGCTGAGAAAGAAATCATGGAAACACTCCCATTCACAAGAGCCTCAAAGCAAAAAGTATTGAAGAATAAACCTAACCAAGGCGGTGAAAGAACTCTACAATGAAAACTTTAAATCTCCAAAGAAAGAGATTAAGGAGGACACTAGAAGATGGAAGGACCCCCAGTGTTCCTGGATCGGTAGGATTAATAGTGTGAAAATGATAATCCTACCAAAAGTAATTTACAGATTCAATCCAATCCCAATCAAAATCCCTGTGTCACTCTTCACAGAAACAGAAAAATCTATCCTAAAGTTTCCATACTTCTTGCCCTATAAGCTAAAAAGCCCCAGTCAGACCAATGAGATGGCTTACCAGGGAAAGGTAGATGCTTGCTGCCAAACCTGATGACCTATGTTTGATCCACAAAGTAGATAAATGTAAAAAAAATGTTTATGCATCAGTCCTTTTCTGATACAAAATACTTTTGCAGAAGATTTCTGTTGTATTATAAGGTATGTGATTTGCAGTGAGTGTTAAAAATATTGATTATAGATATATTTTTGTAAAAAATCAGTTTCACTGTAATTCAGAGTTCATATATATATACATATATATATAATTTTTTTTCTTTTTGGTCTTTTTGAGACAGGGTCTCCTTGTAGCCCCAGCTGACCTGGATCTCGCTGTGTATACCAGGCTGGCCTTGAACTCACAGAGATCCTCCTGCCTCTGCCTCCAAAGTGCTGGGATTAAAGGCATGTGCCACCATGCCTGGCC